TTATTCTAAGCAAGTATTTATTTCCTGTTTGTGAGCTGTTTTCCTGACACTTCTTTTGCTGTTTAAATTTCACATGCTCTTCTCTTAAAATATCATTCCCCTGTTTTGGTGGCATAATTCTGTCTCTGACTTAATATTTTCTATAAACATGTGAAATGGCCTGTGGCATTTAGTTTGACTGTTGCAATTCAAATGTTCTAATAGTGAAAATAAAAGACTTCTTCTGCCGAAAATCCAAACCGAGCTTGCAACTCCATTTTTGCTCCATACTGGAATATGGGAAATCTTACTCTGACAACAGCAAAGGTATTTCAAAACTGAACTGATGCTCTGAATAAAAAATCCATTTGGGGCTTGTTTATCCATTCCTCTATTTTTTGAACGAGAGCTTTTTCATTACTTTATTCCTAGGAATGTTAATGTGCTCATTTAAGCTGCCAATAACATCTGGGGCAGAATACCAGCCTAAAGAACAACACTCCTTCGAGTCAGGGCATAGGGGTTTCTGGACTAGTGAAAGGAATCAAGTAGGGGTAGGTCAGTGGAGCAATCAATGTGATATACTGTATGGATGGCGATGCTGCTCTCTCACTGGCAGCTGCTGTTCATTTCTGATCTGGAAATGTGTGACCAGATCCTTCTGCCTTGCCCAGCTGTGAGCTGAAGTTGGTATTTGGGAAGACACGATTGAAAAGGTTCTTCAGTCCACCCACCATTGTGCAGAAACGACAACAAAGGTTTCAGAGCAAGCCTAAGCAATGACTAGGAGATGGAGAACTGAGCTCTTGAGTGAAGAGCTGATGGTGCAAATCAAACTATCAGAGTCACGTCTGAAGGGCTGGCAAAATCCTCTAAGAGCAGGGAAGGGCATCACCATTGCTAATGGCAGAATGCCATATCTCCAACACACCCAGCAAGCATCTCCTCCCCTCTTTGGACGCAAAACTGTTAACTGCAGCTTTGACTCTGAGAAGGCTCAGTTGACATAGATGAGACAGTGGGAAAAAGCCTGGGGGTAAAATTAAAGATATCAGTTCCGAAATTACAGGGGGAAATATAGTTGCTAGTTCCTGGATGGAATATGATCAGCACTTCCCTCACACAATACAAAGAGGGACTAAATGGAGCGTGAAGACACCACAGCCACGCTCTGTTGAAACCGCTGCAGAGGAGGAAACTTGCTGGTACTTTTTAGCTGATAAGCTACATAGCAGCTGGAAACCAAGGGAGATAAACAAAGATATTCTGCTTTTGAATCAGCAACTGTGGCAAAATCACTCTCCTTGGACTGATGCATATCCCCATCCATCCCCATCACATAGCATCCACCATTTTTATAATGCTGGTAACTGATGACACATCTTTTGTTTGGGAAGTGGTCTGAGCAGTTGTATCAGCTGGCTGTTTAAGCCTAAACATGCTGCAGCAACGTCACTGACTGGATAGTTATTACATAAAAATTATATATATATATATATAAAATACAGTTTCAAGATTCAGCTAAAAGGAAGCCAGGCACTGCTGCCTCAGAAACCTCATTTTTTGTACCTGAAGGTGGCACTAAAGCCACAGGGAAGAGACTCATCATACTGCTTCTGTAGGGCCGGGTTTTTGAGAGGAAGTGTTAGCACATCTGGCAAGTCTTGCCTGCAGACAGTAAAATCTGTATTTCTTACAAGTGGAGTGGACTAGAATAGCCAGTGGAATTGTATTCTAGTATTCCCTGAAGAATGCATCAGTTAGTCGTATCATTGTATTATACTTATTTTCCTCTCCTGACTAGTCCTGGGTGAGTGAACAACTCCATCCTTTGGCAGTTTTAGACCTTCATAAATTTATTACTTGTATTTATTTGTCCATTCTTTTTTTTTTTTTCCCAGTTTTGCTAAATAATTTGCATCATCAAATGTAAATATCAGTAACAAGTAAGAAAAATGTTCCTATATTTGCTATTCATAGTTGTTGTCATATGAGATACACAGAGTTACTCAACAATGCTATGCAGAAAATGAAATTATCCTCCCACTGCCTGTTAAAAAAAATCAACAAAACAAACAACAAATATTTTCTGGAAATACTGTGATATTCATAAAGGTTAAATTTGAGGGAGTAAAAAACCCTAGCAAAATCAACAAGACCCTATACCAACTGTCACGTGAACAATAAGTACAAATATAAATGTTTTGACAACTTATCAATCAAAAAAATATTTTTTCCACATGATGTCCATAAATTCTATAAAAACATACTGTATTATCTCTGTTCTGGTTATGCAATTCAGATGCATGGAAATTAGATTAACTTATCTTGGAACTGTATAATTTTTCTTAACCAGTTTTTCTTGTTTGAAATCTGCTCTTCTTCAAAACACTTTTTTTCCTGATGTGGTAGAAAAATAAAAGTCTATGGATACACTTTTCTCAGACCTTAGCAGAGACCACTGAGAATCTATCTGTATATTCTTACTAATAATGGTATTAATTTCAGGACACTTTCAGTGTTTAAAATATAATTAGTTCATACTAGACTGTTTATTGTTCACAATGAAGTAAAAGAAATTATCTATGAAATATTTTTTATTGTTTTTTAATAAAATAGATAGTGAATCTGTGAATAGATAAACACCATAAATACTTCTGTAACATCCATCATGGACAGTACTTCTGTATGTTATATTAATTAGCCCTTGGACTCAATATCATCACAATCAATATATAGAGAGGAAACCAGAAGAACTTTTCTTACATATTATCCACCATTACTTACTGTACAGGGAATAGATCTTCCTCTTGGAATTTGGAAGAAGAAAGGTAAATGTCCAGATCATCTAAGAGGCCTAGAACCTATCCAGGATACTGATTTCAAAGAATGGTAGTTATGTTGATCTCTAAATTCTGAATATTCTACTTGAACTGATTTTTTTTCCCTTTCTCAGTATTATCATGCAAATTTCCCAGACAAGGTGGCACCACATAGGAACCTGATTTGCAATTGAAAAGATCTGAAAATGGCATTTGATCTCAGATGAAACCCACTTTTTGAAGTGGTACCTGAAGATGCCACTCGAAATTTTATGTCTAATCTTCCCTAACAGTCTCTTGGAAAAAGCGCACAGTGGTTTTAACAATAATGGTAGATGGCTAGGTATGTCTATAAACCCTGTCCTCAAGAAAACAGAAAAAGCTCATATTTCTTCCTTTACTATTGTCCAGTTCTGGTCTTTCATTAGACAAGCACCCCATAAGATTCCTGTACTAAATTTTTAAAACTAATTGATCGTGAGTTAAAAACTAACTTAAAACTAAGAACTTTAAGCAGTACCTCCATAAAGGATGCACAGTTTGCCATGCAAAGCACAACAGCTGGAATGATGAAAAGCATTTAAGATGCTGGAAGTCCCTCTTGATCTGCTGAAAGGCCACGGTGCAGCAAAACCAGAATATTCCTTCTGCCACTCTATTTCAGGGCTAGGAATAACATCCAGAAGGTCTTGTACTCATGTGCTCCACTGAATTTCAAAACCTAGCCACCTTCTTCTGAAAACTATATTTGCCAGCACAGCAAGCAGAAACTAGTATCAGTTTGTCCAAAACAATCTTCTGAGGCTGACAGACACAGCATCTATCAATACTGTCGGTCGCAGGACAAAAATTAGATTAAGTGATTTCCCACTGAAGACTCAGTTAAACAGTGCAGAGTCCATGGAAATTATAGAACAAGATAATCTTAAGTCAGAAAGGAAGTGAACATAGTTTTGGACACCAAGACAAACAAGAAATCCCGACAAAGCTTAACTGTTAGGTAGAAAAACTTTCTAAGCAGAAGATAATAGAGCTAAGTAATTCCTGAGTTCTCCATTTCAGGTAACACAGGGGAGCCAGGGGTGTGTTTCACTAACCCATGTGTTCCAGCCTTGATGTTATGTGTAAAAGCAGGTGCTGTGACGATTTATACAGTCCTCTTGACAACACAGTTAACAGGCCGTAGATGAGAACAGAACGCCACCTCTGTGAACTACAGGAGTGTAAGATTTACCATGAAGGCAACTTCCAAATTCCACCAAACCAAACATATATTGAACCTCCTCCTTCCTTCAGGGGCCAGTGTGAATTCAATTCCCACTTTGGAGGTGGGAATTGGACTGCTGAGAGGTGTGACAGGAGGTAGACATATCTTGATGCCTGTGTTATGACTCATATAATTTCTATAGGCTTTGCTGTGATTATGGTAGTTAGGAAATGTATTTTTAAAAGCAGTGCATGCACTTGGTATCTAAATAAATTTCTGATCTTCACTGGGGAAGGAGTCCCACAGTTTCGTTGCATGATACAGGTATAAATATTTTATCACTTTTATTTGCTTCTTTTCAGTTTACCTGAACACTGACTTATTTTCACCCCTTTTTGTAATAAAAGATAAAAATCCTTCATGGATTTAATTTCTGTTATCTCACATTTATATTGCTAACAGTCCATTCCTAATGCACCTTAGATATAAATATATTACATGATTCATGATGTACTGGAACAACTTCACATAAACAAAAAACCTCACTTCTCCAGGAAAAAAGGTACTTTATAGATCTGTGGAAAGAAGGCTGTAAAATAACTTTTCTCTGTGAACCCCAACGGACATGAAAAATTTTTTAAAGAGTCTTAGTCCAACTAATTTGTCCTGAAAGCATTTGAAAGCCAAATCAAAAAGTCAGACATCATTTTGTGTGAATGTGACTCACCTGTACAGCCCAGAGGTAGTCCAGACGCAGTTTCAAGTCCACTTGTCTTGAATGTAGAGCCAAAGCACAAGAAAAAAGCAGAATAGCTAGTATTGGTTCATAGCCACGCATGTAAAAGGAGCCACCCCTTAAAAACAAGAAAGTAAACGGGTTATTCCAGGTTTTCCAATACCTAACAACTCATATTTTTAATATCATTTTTGGTTTAGAACATCTGGGTACCCCCTAATCACTAGCCTTTTCTGAAGAGGCTCATCTGGACAGGGTGATGGGTGGCAGTAAATCTGACCACTGATCACACAAACATGCAGCTTCTTGAGGATTTTATGAGCCTATGCATTATTGTAATGTGTGTGCATGCTTTTAATTAGGAAACAAATAAACACTGGAAAGCTCAAAAGCTCAAAAGCTTAAATGAAATTGGAATTGCTCGGGGGCTGCTGAAATATGGACGTGAAGTTTTTAGCTGTTTCCTATTTCATATCATAGTTAGACTGCAGTGTGTTCAGCTGAAATATGTTACCATAAAACTACAGCATGCTAGCTCCCAAAAGCTGATCTCCTGTTGATGGATGTTACTAGATCCTACAATTGCTGGGGAGAGGATAGTTAAAGTATTTCTTATGCTCCACTGGTTCTACAGCCCCAAGCAGCACTGAACACTAGAGGACAATTCCCAGATTTTGTCATGACTGTCTTTAGAGAATTACCCAATTGCTTTAATTTTGCAAGATACGCACCCCAATGCTTTTCTGTAACCACTGAGTTCCAGAATAACTATGTACAAAATGGTAACAAAAAGCAGGAGAATCATTTTTGGCAAGGAAGATACTCGTAGAAATATTGCCAAGGTGAGAGTCCCCACTACACAGGAAAGGAAAGCATAGTGGGCTGTGTCACATGGAAGTTCATTCATTGTTTTATTTGTTCCACCGGGAGAAATTATAACTATTGAGCTGCTGGAATTGGTATTCCAAACCCAAGGCATGCAGCCAACCTAGAAAAGACAGGAGAGGCAAGAAGGGGAGAAAGTTAAATATGAAATAAACAGAAATGCAATTGCTATGGAGGCTGACTGTGGTTCATTTCTAATTGAGAAAATATGGCTGTGGAGTTCCCACCCAACTCAGTGTCGTATTAAAATCTCCTTTTCCTGCAATGCTTCACGGAGTTTTAGGCGAGAGACAAAATTTGTTCATTAGATGCCAGTAAGGGCAAACAGCTGAAGTCTGGGCTTAGCTGAATAGTTTCTTTCTCAGTGCTCAGAATCAAGAGATTCTCACACCAGCATATTCCTGCAAAATTAAGGAACTTCAGTTAACATTTAACGTGGCCATGCAGGTGAAGAAGGATCTTGCACAGAGCACAAAAATAAATGAGTTTGGTTTATTGACCATGTAAGTCATATAAATTTTAATTACTTAAATACAAAATAAAGCATATTTTAATCACTGAGTGAAAAACTAAACATGAATAATATCTTTTCTCCACCTCAGAGCTACTTCTGCTGTCACATATGGTTCAAATACAAGGACTCATCCTTAATTATCCCTCTCATTTCAGTTTTCCAAGGAGTTCCATTTCCTCCCTAGACTGGAAATAAAAAAATTGGTTTAGTGCATTTCTTATGGGAAATTCTGGCAAATTTAACCTGTTTTTTCTAAAGGCAATGTCATGTACACATCTCAGAGCTGTTACCCAAGGAAGAGAGGAATTTCTGGCAAATAGTGCAAGTCCCTAGAGCTCCAGTTTTAACTGCAGTCCAACCTTCACCCCTAACGGAGGAAAAGGATAAGAGTTAGTATAAGTGGGGAGAGTGGGATGGTAGTGTGGAATTGATTTTAACAGGCACTGCCACATAGGCCCTGCCCCATACTTAAGCTTCTCTTTTAAAGCGTAAGACCTTTTTATTTCATCCTAGGCACTGACAATGAAATTTTATACCATGCTGTAAAGTAACTGGCAACCTGAAGGGCGATTAAGCAATGTATTTTACAGGGAGTTGCAGTAATTAAAAAAGATAAATATAATAAATATGATTTGAACTCATAATGGCTAATATTATGAAATGAAAGAGTGAAATGAAAAATGCCTTCAATGCGATTGTGTTCAATATCTTTAAAAATGCTCCTCATACTAAACTCATCCAAAAACATACACAAGCATGAGGGCTCATCAGTGATCTGCAATCCACCCAGGAAAACACCATCTGCTGAACAACCAACAGTGAAACCTCAACTCCTAGCTCCTCTGGCAGATGAGAATTCCTTGCATGAACTAATAATTTCTATGGATGAAACATTTCTCTTTAGGTTACAGGTTATTTTTGTTAAGGAAAGGAAAAAGTTGTATTTGTGACCTATTTTAAGTCCTAACTGAAGGATCACTGCCTTGTTGGAGGTCAGAACTTCTGAATTCTAATCCAACTTCTTCCACTGTTGTTCAACGTTGCTTTAGGGCTTACGATGTCTGTTTCTCATTTTCACCATCTTTAAGCGGTAACGATGGTGCTTGTTTCACTCGGTCAAAGTTAAGTGTCAGATCTAAGGAGGCTGATTCACAAAGATTTCGTCTGTCATAACATTAATCTTAATCCCAAAGTCAGATACACAGAACTTGCTGAGAAACTAGCCTGGAGGCACTGCACAGCTCTGTGCATTTTGGGCTCGTGTCCGCACTAAGAACTGCATGTATGCCTGTGTTCTGTTAGGGCTGTGGGTTAATTAACACAGATGATGTTCAGGAATTCCCAGAAATGTCTCAACATCAGTAATTGTTGGTTCCTCTCAGGACACTGGAATTCACAGAGAAGGGATAAGCTGGGTATAAGTTCTCAGGGCAGGTCCAGGAACGAGCGAATACACAAAATACAAAATAAGGGGCTTGGTCTCTCAGTTAGCACTGAGAGTTGCTCATGCCTTCTTAATGGTCAGAACACATTGTTTAATCCCCATGGAGAGGCATGATTCGACACATCTGCCTTCTTAGCGTTTCCAGTTGTGTTTAGTGTGCTATTTTTTGTGTGGCTTCTTTCCTTTGAGTACCCTAACATGTTTAATCCACCAGCATTAGCAGCCAAAATGCTGAAATTGGGTGCTTGGTATTTGGCAAAGCAACTGAATGACAAATACTTAGGTGGAAGTTTAAATTTGAATTCAAGTCCACCATGTAGAACTAGCTGCTAGTCTACAGTAAAGGAAGCTCAGTTTTCAGAACTATTAAGCAAGGCCACTTCATACAACAGAAGCTTTCCAGATATTAGATGTGAATGGATCACGTAAGTAGCACAGTTACTGCCCATATTTTAAGATCTCTTCATCTTTTCTGATCTGTCTGGACTAAAAATATCCCCTGTTATTACACAGAAATATGTTTGATAAGTTGCCACGTAATCTTGTTTTGACACCACGCCTTGTCTGTCACAAAGTATTAGCCAGTGAACTAGCAAGCACCTTGAACATTTAAAAATTGTTTTCCCATAAAGTACAAGGCATCGGCAGACTACACGAAACTAAGTTTTGATGAGCAGATTTCTATAGGTTTTGACCAGGTATGATCTGCATAACTTGACAACTGCTTTGCCATTCCCACTTCAACACCTTGTCAGGTAAAGTTGAAATTACAGTAGAGGGGGTTAATTTTGAAGAAGCATGCTCTTCAAGTATGTATAATAAAGAGAGTAGAAATTCACCAGACGAGGCTATGGTTGCATTTATCGATGCAAACAATGATTGCATTAATGATTGCATTTATCTATGTGTTTAATGGTTGTTCTTTAAACAGAACACTAAGTTAAGTGATACTTGACTTAAATACTCACCACACATCCTTGAGCCACGGAGTATATTAAGATCACAATAAAAATACACAAAATGGTACGAATTTGTATTGTCAGGCACCCTGGAAAACACTAAGGAAGAAAAAAAAATATTTATAGACAAATATTTTAAAATATTTTAAAGTGAGGTAGATACTTTTTAGTAGTCTATAATGAGAGGTGAATATGGGATATGGAAATTTAGCCTGCATTGCAAATTATGAAGTTGCAGTTGTGTAATAACTGTTATGCAGTTATTATTGTGTAGATGTGTTTTAATGGTAATCGTAGCTTTGGGGATAATAAATATGAAATTATTATTACTACACATTATTTCTCACTATAGTTAAAACTCTTAGAAAGTTTATTAGCACCTCTACTCATGATGCAAATAATAAATTAGGATGACATTTGATCTTGCTTTCATGGAAAAAATACCCAAAGGAACTTTTGCCTCACAAATTATCAGTTCCAAACTGTGACCCAAGAGAACATATTGTGATAGCATAGAATTTTGGAGTGGTATTTGTGTCTTCTGTTATAACAGTCATATTAAATGCCATGCCAGGCACAGTTTTAATTATCTGGACTCATTAAAAATACTGAATTTCTCAGAAAGAGCAGTAGAGAACAAAAATATCTGGTGAAATGGAGCCCTGCAAATCTCCATTTTTACCCTGATTCCATCTATCACGCTTCTAAATGTGTGAAGTTCTCGCTGCTATGAAGATTGTGACAGAATGTGAGACAGGAAGGGTAAAGTCTGTCAGGCTTGTTCCAGTCATCCTGATCTACTCTGCTTTCAGGTAAAGCTGCTTTCCTTCCTTTCCCCTCTCACTAGGAGTGTGTGGAGTACTTACTACATACTGGATCCAGGATATATCTTTCAGACCACTAGAATTCTTCCAGTGACTTCAAGGGTCAAGAACTCCAAGAAGCCATCAGATTTAAAGTGGGGACAATGGTATGTTCTTTAAAAGGAGGGGGCTCAGGTTTATCAAGGTTGAATTTGATATTTAGGTCAAAGAGAGCAAGCAAACACCTCATTTTTGGATGAAAATACCAATTGTGAAGGAGAGCTGTTCGCTTCATGGCTATCACCAAGATCAAAAGCATAGCTTCCAGTAGGCAGCAAAGTACTCACAGAGAGAGGCCACTGTGGCCTTGGCACAATAGAAATCATGTATTTAAATACCTTCCCTTCTGTTCACACATGTAGAGACATGTCCCCTGTATGTGTGACCATGAATTAAAAGTTGAGACAGTTATAAGTGAATCAACTTCATTTGGGATGTGACACATTAGAATACAGTAATTATAGCAGAAATAAAAAATGTATAAATTGCAAATACGTTCTGGCTTCTGTTCGGTTTCAGTCCGTGTAAGTGTAGGTGTGGAACAACCAATATAATATCAATAATAGACTTGTATTACGGACCTGAGTTACTTAGATACATCATAAACCAGTTTAAGTATTAGTCAGCATCAATAAAATATGTTAGGATACTCGAGGTATATCCCCTTTAATAAAACAGCGATCATACTCCTGAACAAATACCTCAAACTGTAAGAACCTGAGACTGAAAAACTGGGTTTCAAGGGAGAAGATACAGCATTGTCCAAAATTACATTATGAAAAAAAGACAGACTATTTCTGCATTTATTCATCATTATCATACAATTCAGGTTGGAAGGGATCTCAGGAGGCCCAAAAGTACTGTCTGCCTTAACCCCCAGAGTGCCAGGGCTATTTTTGCACAGCTGGTCACTCCCCAGTCTGTGTTACTGCAGGCAGTTCTTTATTCTCAGGGCCTGGACTCTGCATTCATGCACGCTGTATTTCATAAGATTCCTGTTGGCCAGTTCTGTCAGCCTATCCAGAATCCTCCAACTAGTCATCCTGACAGCTACTCTCCCAAAACTGGAGTCACTTCACACGAGTATACTACATGTCCCTCTCCAGGTTGTTGATAAAACTGTCTGACAGGACAGGATTCAGGATAAATACCTGTGATACTCTGCTTATTACCAAGTAGAGTACAACCATAAACTGCTGTGCTCTGAGTGTGATCATCCCAATGGCATTTTACCCATCAAATTGTTGTCCACCCAACTAGACCAAAATCCTATACACACATGTGGTGAAATGTGCAGTTTTATCCATATAAATAAATAAAAGTTAATTTTGTTTGAAGGAAATATATACATTCCATTACCTCAGCTTGCAATCAAACTCAGTTTGCAATTATCTACTGCTTATTAAAGAGAGTTTGAAGATAATGCTGGATTGTTAAAACTGACAAAACATCACACAGATTCAAAGACCTGTATGTCCTGACACACTGCACAATTTTTTTTGGTCTGTGAGGTAATAAATGCTCTATATGTTGACATGCTAGGCTATTGTGTTAAAAAGAAACCTTTAAAAGATAAGGTATGAGACATGTCTGAATTAAAACTCTTACACTAAGAAGATTTATACTTCTGACCTTAAGACATTCCAAGATTGCATCTGCTCTTTACGATAGCATAGAATTTTGTGCTTTATTTTTTTTTTTTTCTTTTATTTGTGGAATTTTTATTAACTATGTAAGTACTGTCAGATCCCCAGAATGCTAGGTAACTGGTACAGTAAAACATTATCATAATGGTTTTAGGAGTAAGGCATTTAATGGTAAAGCATGGAGCAGGTGAATCACTTGCCCAGTGTGAAAGAAAAAAGAAGTCACAGAAGACAGATTAAAATAGGGGAATGACTGGTTTACATTCTATACATTCTACATCCTTTATACACAGCAATTCATCATATTTTATCTACTCTATAAGACAAATTTTCACTATAAAATTTTAAGCTGCCATATTCTGATGTTGTATATTTCTTTATTTTTCTAATGTTAGATTTGATCCTGTAAGGTACTGAATCTGTAGAGGAACCTGGAATAAATATAAATTTTGTTGACTGAGAAAACAGATGGAACACATATCAAGTTTGCACTAACTCTAGGGAAACTGTATAAAGAGAAGTAATTTCCTACAAACTTCGTCTGTGTTTCTATCATCTATACAGAGAAAAACAGAAGATAAACTACTTTGCCTTAATGAAACAAAAGAGATCATCAAAAATACTTCCAAAATAATTGTACAAGTTTATAAATAGGGTTCTACTCTGCACCTGATACTCTGCTAATGCGCTATTTAAGTTTCAATGAAAACAATTACTTTTCTCCTGCCAAAGGCCTTTTTTTTTTTTTTTTTTAACTAAAATTAGTGTGTGCTAATCAGAAAAGCTGATTAACTGTGTAGGTGTTTTCTCCTGATATTTATCTGAAAAGTCTAAATTTAGATTAATCCACTACAGATTTCTTTCATCAGAAAATTGGCCTGTAGATGCTTTATTCTGATGTGTCAGACCTCGTTCTCTGATAATGCAACCAAATGTCCTTCTACATCACTACTGTTGTGAAAATATAATGCAGGACAATTAATCATTACTAAAGGTTTTGAAAAGGCCAAGGATTATCTGTGCAAAACATCATGCTTTGCCATCAAAACAGCTGCAGCTTTGGCAGGAATAATTTTGAAAACAGAGGGGAATTTAGAAGGACTTTACACTCAGATACCATCTGAAATGGAAGGGAGAACTAGTGTGCTCTGCAGTCAGAAAGGAACAGAAGTCAGATTAAAGCAGTTGTTTTTCTGAACACTGCAATGATTCAGTACTGAGTTGTAAGTGTTAAGGGACAATGTAGCAAAAAAGACAGAAAGCATAGAATTAATGGGACTGAATGCTACACTGCTGTAATGATTACTCATATAAAGTCTACTTTCAGGAGATCCATCTTTGCTTTTGAAGTGCCTAACGCATCACTTCACAACGAACTTGAACAGCACGCAGAAGTCAATCTCTATGAATCTGCGGAGCTTACACAGATGGCTTCATTTTCCAAAGGACAAACACAGCAGGGACACCAAAAGAAAAAACAGTCATAAAATCTTAAATCACTTACTTGTACTCGTGTGACATGTAGGTACATAATACAAGCCACTAGGAAGCATATGCAGAACACCAGGAGAACAAGAACTACGGTACTCCTAAAACCAAAACACAACAGAAGTAATGCAACTCTGTAGAAGATGAGAACAAACTGCTGTTTGGGGTCCTCCTGAAATGGTTATTTTCAATGAATGGTGTAGGATCTCCTCCTCAGCCTTGCTGTAATACTAACCACAGCAGAGGAAATTTAACACTTAAGCCCACTGCTCTCAAGATTAAGACATTAGTAAATGCTCTCGTATATGGTTCCCACTCTGGACTCAGCAAGGAGATCAAAGCACCTCAAATATTCAGATATATGGTGTGTCAGGAGAGACACTTTCTAATTGTAGGCTAATACAGATTATTCAGCATGATGACTCTCCTAAGGGGAGTATGTAACCCAATTACTTGGCCTTGGCAGCTACGTAACAGTTACCAGATACTTTTTCCCTCTAATCTCTCTTTCTCAAAGGTTTAGAAATCAGAGGTCATTCAACTCAGTCACTTATCAAGTCAAATAAAATCAGACCAGACTGCCTTCTAATGAAATAGAACAGAACAGAACAGAACTCCTTCCTCAGTCTTCCTCAATGGTTAGACAAATGTAATGATTCTTACCGATCCAGAAACAGGGAAAATTCCGTACTGTAGGATGTGTACCCAGAACGGGGAAGTGACTCTAGTACTGTCACTGTGGATTCTGAATACAAGTATTAATACACTACGGGCTCTTATGCTTTTGGAGGAGAATTCCCTTGTATCCAGGATGGTAGGATGTGAGAAAAGAATGCAGGGGACACGACTGCGATGAGTCTTTTAATGCGGCAATAGCCAACAACCGACACTAGTGTTGAGTGGGACCCTGACAGACATTTGGGTTGGCATTTGTAAAAGGGGCTACACTGTTTTTTTTTAAAAATAAACACAGTGTAAAACATCAGAAAGGTTCATTATTAGAGCTTTCAGTGGCTATGCTATGTGCACGCCTCCATGTTTGGACAGATTAGGTTGATTGGAACATAACCTTACTTTCAACAACTCCATCTGGGGATATGAAATATGCCTTTAGCTGAGAAGCTGTTTTGCTCAGACGATGATAGGAACTGTGAGAATGTAAAGCCCACTGCTTTCTGTGTATTTATGCAGCAACTGGCTTTCGTACAACGCTTACTTGTCTAGATTTTGAACTTTCTCCTTGGAATATTTCCACACCTCAATTCTTTCATTAGATTAACATATCAGAAGTCTTGTTCTGGCTTTTGCATTCTCTTGTCACATTTATAACTGCTTTGGCAATATAAAGAGCTCCAAGTTTTGCGGAGAGGGGAAATTTTTCTACACTTCCAAAGTTTTAATTTAGCTCATGGTTGCATACGTATCACAGAGAAGGAAGAGCCCAGGAAGACTCGTAATTTAGCTAGAATAACAGACACTGGAAGAAAGAACTTAGGAGTATTCAGTTGGATGGCTTTCCTAAATAACCTAGTCCATCTTCATGACCTTCAGTGGTGATATTCTGCTGGAGCTTGTGTATCTGTCACATCAGAGCTTAAACTGAAACTCTCTCCAGCTGTTTTTTAAGTGACAGTACTTTTTGGAAAGGTTACCATATGATTCTTGGAAATTCATTCAAATTTTTTTTTCATTTTTTTCTCCATGTTCAAAATTGCCATGTGCTGCAGTTGTGGTTTACTGCAGAAGAATATGAAAGACTTCTTAATTACATTCCAATTAGTCAGCAGAGTTGTTATTCTGTAAATGATGACGTAAGTGATGATTTTTGTCAGTGACTTTGAATTCTTCAGATGAAAGATATTATACAACTATTATTATTATTATTATTATTATTATTATTATTGAGTTTTAAAAAAGCGTTTCTCAATCTTTCAATTAGAAATAACAGAACATAAAAGTGTTACCCTGACTGGGGATTTGTGAATAGAAAAACACAGAATTTTAAATGGGATTTTCATTACCTGTGGCCAGTTCTATTCCCACTGAAATTGTAATAATTAGTAAAAGAGAGTAAAGTTTATTTTTAATGTTTTGATATTCCAGTATAAAATAGCTTATTACTAATAATTTTTATACCTTAAACACAATTCTATATCTACTTATTATAACCTCTAGATTCAACAGTGAAGTTTAATTATTTTTTATTCAGTAAGCAATCACATAGAATTGGCTAAATGTGAAGTAATCAATAAACTGTATCACTCAACAATAGGCACAGAACAGCCCTCAAATACATCATGAGCATTTTCATTTTGTCTGCTTTAGTGCAGTCAAGGTCTGAGTGCAAGTTATGGGTGCATGGACAAACTATCCACTAGGCAGTTTGTGTAGTGATAGCATTGATACCAAAAACCTCAACTGCACGCTATAAACTTGGGTTGAAAAGCTAAATGGATACTTCAGTACTCAGTTTCCATTAAAATCTCCATAGTTTTATCTATCTTGCTATCAATACCTGAAGTACCTCATCCAAAGTCAGCACAAACACATTCAAAAAAGCTGTAGTAACACCTTTGTTTGTAGACCAGAAATGTTTGAAATAAGTTAGACATAAACATGGAAAGTTTAAATAAACACTGAAACGTGTTTTTTCCTTCTAAGTGCATCCCTCTACCAAAACAAACAAAAAAAAAGAAGATAGTGCAAAGTGTCTCCTTTGTAATCTCCATCAAAAAGAGATTAGATTGAGAATATACCAGCAGAGAATCTCCTGGACTAGAAGATGCCAATTTTGGTGCTCATTCCCATTCCAAAGACCTCAGTATTTTGATTTGTGAAGGATGTCTGAAGATGTTCCACTTTGATTTATAATGGCAAAAGACAGAAACTTACTGTGGTATTATTAGAAGGTAGACAAGGCCAAATAAGGCAGCTAGAATTAGTGAGAGAACTACAGCACTGGTGAAGTACTCGTCTTGAAGCTGGTGATACTGTTAAAGAAAGGAAGAAATTAGGACAGTAGATATTTTATATACACCTAGTCAGCCACACTTGTCCATTCTCAGTAAGAAAGAACTATAGCCTAAAATAAAACAAGCTCCTACTTAGTTTAAAAACATACAAAAAATCATGGCTTAATCCACATGAAAGAAACATATGAGGCAAGTCTACATAACATTTTCCTTGACAGACTTCTGTTTCACCCTGTAACTAGTCATAATTGGGTTAGGTTCAGATATAAGTTTATGTTTTGAAGAAAAAAAAATCAGCCATTTGGAACCAGAAGGGGGTGGCACTTCCTCTTCTCTACTTACCATGAAACAAGGCTAAACACCCCTTGGTGCTGCCTTCAAGAAATCCTGTCCCCTCACCTGCCCAGGACAGGACACTGTGGACTTGGAGGCAGCTGCTAATGAGATGCACGGGTTCAGTTTTGAGCAGCTACTGCCTTCAATTCCACTAAGCTACACACTTTGCAAGATAACACCTCCTTGGGGTGGGAACACATAAGTGTTTTCTCAGAAAGATCCAAAGCTCAATTTCATTTACATAAAAAGACTTCCTTATTTTGAAAGAGAACAGTTACACTTGGATAATAAACTACTCTGGAAACTTCGCATCAAAATTTATGCTCAAAACCTTAAAAAATTGGATCCGATATGGCACACAGCCTTCTGACTTGAAACAGTAGAGACGTGAAATTTTAGACTATAAAGTGACTTACAGTAGAACGTTAAATGCTACTGCCAAGTTAATCCAAAACCATAACACTTTTGCTTTTTAAAAACCACATAAACTACAGGTTGTAAATACAAACGATTCGTATTTACAAACAAAACCAAGGTAGGAACAATTGTTAGCTTATATGCCGAGTTGTAAGTTTGGAGTTACAACTGCTTTCAGCACAGTCACACAGCCCAGAGTCCAGGGGGTTTTTTTGGTATTTTCTAGAACTGATGGGATCAATACTTATCAGGCTACATATGCAGAGGGAAGCATCCTCCTGTCATTAACACTTCTCCCAGAGCACATGAGTTAGTAGGCAGCCACACTGCCACGAGACAGCATTAAACAGGGGACACAGGCCAAGCAGTTTGGATAAGCAAAAGAAAGATGAAAACAAAAGATATGTAACATTCTGGAATAGGATCTTGTAGGATGATACTGATCTTTCTTTTTATCCCCTTCAAGTGTTTCGATAGAAGGTAGAGATAATGTCTCCCTCTTAACTGACAGTCCAGTAAAGTATTTAAAGACAGCAAGTAGAATTTAAATATTGTATCAAAACAAACAAAACCCCAATGCTAGCTGGCTTGTGGTCAGTGAAATCAGTAAAGATAATTTAAAACTGCCTTACTTTATTTTCACGCTCAATTTGCTTATACTTCAGAGTAATGAAGTTCAAGTCAGCCATCTCAGACTCAGTTTGCCGGGCCTCTATCAAGCGGCTGATGTATCTGTTTACTCGAGTTCCTGGAGTGTTGTATACAACGTTGGTAGAAAAAGAGGAACGATTCCTGAGTTTTTCAGAGGCTGTCCTTAATGCTCTCCTCTGTGGCACAGATGAAGGAAGAAGCACAGATTTTATTAGCATTGAAATTTTTCATTGCTGTTCGTATTACCTCAAGCTCACAGTCAGGATGAGGAGTTCATTAAACAGAGCAACTATAAAAGACAGAGATCTTATCTCCATGCGAATGTTGTCTTGTAAAAACTCCTTAGCCAAAATCCTGATTTCATTCAAACCAATGAGAGCCCCTTACACACTGCATTCCAGGATTTTAACCCAGAAATTCTCTTCACACATTGCCCTGACACTTCTTTGCCACTGAAGAAATAATCAGTTTGTTCCCAATCAGTGTGACTTTACCTTGCAATTTTCTTTTTTTTTCATGAGGGAAGTTCTGAACATCTCGAAGACAATATAATCAGGCTCTTCATGACACAAGAAAAGTCCCACTGTCTAGGCAGCAATACACATGTTGAAAAGATAATTTTCCTCAACCACTCACACGATGACCATGTGTGACTTCAGAGGGTCTGAAATCTCAAGTGTTCCTGTCTTTAACTCACCCAAGCGGTTTTCTTGTTAAGACCTCTTGAGTATGCCTCACGTGCACTTGCAGATCCAGACAGAGCAATCCAGTAAATTATCAAAGCTAACCTGTGCCTAACTGGCTCCTTCGTGGCTGAGGTAGCAGGACTGTCAAGATGATCACTCAGGGTCGCTTTCAGTGGAAAAGATTTATCAGAGCGCGTATCTGAAAGGGATTTTAGACAAGCTGTCTTGCTTTTTAACAGAGCACTCAGGAGACAGTGAGCAGCATCTCAGCCCCACTGGTGGCAAACATCAGTTGGGGGCACTGTAATCTAAACCATCATGGCTAGATCTCTACTAGTATGAATAGAGAGGGATCAAGCCTTACTTCCCAGAAGAGTTTTGACAACCAAGCTTGGGCAAGTTCTACTATTTCCATAAAGTTAAAGGAATATTTTTTTTATCTAACATCTGGGGAGTTCAAGACAATTCAAAACATTATGGAATGACAAGTCCGCTCAGGATATAATTAGTAGAGTCTGTCAGCAAGAAGTTAAGGAAGCAAACAAAATTTCTCTCTTCAGAGCAGTCAGTACTTAATAAGCCACTCTTTAAGGGTTACACTACAAAATATCCTTTTAAACCAGATAGTAAAAAAAAGGTGGTGAGTGCTATTTAAGTAATCCTGCAGGAATGGCCATGTCCTGTCTTACACCACAAGAAGTTCTTATGAGATCCCCATCAGTAAACAAACTGTGGAGTACAACAGTTCATCAGCTCACATAGCTTACGTTATATGGATATTATACCTGAATGCGTAGGAACAGTTGGAAGGGTTATCTACTGACTGACATGTTAGCTTTCTGATCATAAAGAAAAATGGACCTTAGCAAAGATAAAATAGCTTATCAGGTCTTGCTTTGGTGGCTTTGTATGTAGAGAGGAGGTCATACCAGCACTAAACAATTATGAGGCTACTTGAAACATTTTTCTTCAAACTATCGGATCCCATTACTTGGTAAATTGTCTGTGGTGCAATAACTAATTTTTTCAACGTGAAAAATAATCTTGGGGACCTACATGGACAATTTTCATTTTCAATTCCGATCTTCTGGGTACAGTTAGGAATAATTGAAATCTTAAATTGCCAGCCAAACAACTATCCTCAATGTTTCTAAAGAGATAAATTTGTTCCCTTGCAGAAGACATTTGTCACACTGGTTTGCAGGGAGACTGAGTGCTTTCACGAGTATTGTCAGGAATATACAATTTTACTCTACATAAACAATAATTTGTTACCATATATATTGCATAAGGGGCCGCAGAAAGTACATCTTTGGGGAGTTTTTACAGTTCAAATTTATCATATAACAATGGGGTGAGCAAAACAGCATTTAAAAAGAATGTTTCTTTGCTTTAAAACCTGGAAGGAAGGTAGGTAATGGGTGTTATTCGGATATATGGAATAAATTATATTATCTATTCTGCCATTTTGAAATAGGGATAAAGTTACTGCTCTTAATCAAAATAGCTGTTTCTTAAATATAATGATCTCCTCTGTGTCTCTTATTTTTATCTCTATTATTTTTTCATACAGTAGACTTACATTGCCTTATATGTCATCAAGCCAGTATTTATATTTCTCAGATATGTACTGGCTTCCAAGCCTTTAAAATCCCACTTGTTTTACATGATTTACATGATTTGAGAACTGAAAGCTCTGAAGAAACTCTGCACTGCAACACAGTGTATTTTTAATAATAACATAATGTAAACCCATGATAAGTGTTTCATAAAAGTTACAAAAGCTCAGAACAATTGTTCAACTAATAACAGCACTGTAGAACTTCTCTGCAAATGTTCTGACATGCAAAAATTTTCATCAGATCCCTAGCAAACCCATTTGGTTATTTTCTGTGTCTATTAGCATTTTATATATGCATATACACGAGACACAATGCAAAGTATTGCACATGCTTCCAGGAATGTGTGGGTTCCTTTTTTTTTATATATATAATCAAAGACAGCACTAATTCACAATTGAAAGGCCTTGTACACGGCCAGTTTCAAAATAAAATCTGGAGTTTCTGAAAGTCTTCACTGAAAGTGTGTTTTAAAGATACCAACAGACTTTTCTGCCCTTTTCCTGCAGAAGAAACACAAGCCCATGCAAAACCCAAAATATGAAATTTCAAATATCTTCTGAAAGTAGGATTTAGACTGAATCTTCAATAAATGTACATTATTAAACAAAAATAACAACAAAACCCCGCAAACGATCAACCTTCCTCCCCCCTCCCCAATAATGTGGAGCAATCAGTCTAGCTGATTTACTGCTTCCAATGCACATCATGCCAACGCTCACTGGTGAAGTGATTATGTCATATTGCCACCTGCTGGCTAAGAAAATGGAACAAAGAACTCTGCAGGTTTTGTTTGTTTGTTTATTTGGGGTTTTTTGGGGGGTTTTTTGTTGTGGTTTTTTTTTTCCCCATAAATTTCTGTGTAGATTCATGTACAGAAAAGGAAGTAAACCAGGCTACTAATATGTAACGCAATTTTGATTTATGGCACTACAAGGCATCAAAGAAAGTGGAATTTGTACTAAGAACTTCTATGTTTAGGACTTGTATAAGGGACTAAGAGGGTTTTTGACTAATTGGTTTTCTTTAATTTTTTAGAGAATCATCTAGAGCTATAAAATATTCCGTTGTTTTGTATTTGCCATCAACAGCTTCAGACTGTGATGGACAAAAGATGCAAAATAATATCTCTTTAAAATTATGGAAAAAACCTCAGAAACTCAAATTTCTGGGAAGGAATCCCTTAATAGAAACCACATAAGCCACCTCTATTGGCTTTTCCAAGAGGTTCCTTAAATTTGAGGCCTTTTTAAGTTTTGTTTTTATAGTGAGCATTATATAATTCTACCTTCAGCTCCAGCAGGAACACCAGAAACTATCAGTCCATAACATCACCCCTTATGTTCTCAAAGCAAATCTGCTTGTTGCACTCCTGGAACTGATGCCCAAAGAGTGCACATGGCCCATGGGGATTACCTTATCATCATCCTCACACGTCATGACATTGGAGAAAGGGATCTCTGCTTTGAACATCTTACGACAGTGCATGAGCTGAACAAGCAGATAGCAGACTGTCTTGAACTTCATTCTTTTGGCAGGCTTAATGTCTGAGAGAATCAGTCCAGGAAATATCTGTTGATCAGAAAAACAGTATTTATTACTGTCGATACGTTCCCATGCAGACACAGATACTTGCAGGCATTTGCACCACCCAGTGGTCAGAACAAAGCAATATTCTAATCAAGAAGCAACGCATTCTGATAAACATCCCATATTTGCAAATGAAGACTACTTCATCTTTTTTGACCCGAGATGTAAAGAATCTATTGAACAGACTTTAAACTCACGCTTTACATTTTGGGAACGGTTTTATACTTAGAAATGTAGACTGTAAAACAGTGCATTAATGATAAACTCATGAGAGGCAGTACTTGTATTTTTATAACACTAAATAAATTCTAGGAAAACATAGGAAAAATAAGGAGGAAATCAGGATTTTTATCAATTGTGTTAAAAAAATATATAATTTCAGTCTTTTTCATATTTCCTCATTTTGTTACTTCAGCCATTGGTAAGCTCATTAAAATCTGAAGAGGATAGATTTTGCTTTAAAGATAGACATATATATAACTTAGAAGGAGTCTGTGAGGCACTGAAGCTATATCTTACATCTTATTTCTTCAAAGCAAGGAGTGTTATACCATGGAGAAATACTCTCAGAGGGTTGGGTATAATCTATTCTTTTTACCACAGGACTCTCAGTTCAGCAAGAACAAATATTAGCTCTTAAGCACGAATTTAACTCTTGCTGACTTCAGTAGATCCCTATTATGTATTCAGATGCTTTCACAGATCAGAATATCCTCAGTATTTATACCAAACTTATTCACGCTTCTGGCATGTGGAATGTGTAAAGCAGTGTTAATGAGAAATGTGGAAGGCCCCCATGCCACCACAGGGTGGGAATTTGAGCTTGTAAAATTGATATATTCTGGAACAGCACAATAAAGAAGCACAGAGGATTTGGTCCCTAGTGTTCCTACGTACAAAAGACGGAGCAAATCACAGTCCAAAATCTTCACTGAAGTGGCAGTGAGAATTTGCTGTGCAGCCTTCACAACACTGTGATTTACTAGAGCCATTTACATCATTACCTCAGTGAACAAAGAATGAAGAAGAAACTGAAAGCATTTGTTTTAATGCATGTTTTCATAGACACAGATTTTGAGGGGCAGGGCAAATGACACTGTTTATGATCCAAATGTCATCTCAGGTACTGGTTTGCTGTGATGTTTAACACATATATACATAGCACATATATATAACACATATATAACATATATATATAGCAGGGCACTTGCATTTTCTCGGTAATCAAAGTAATATATTATTGAACTCCCAAGAAACTCCTGTTTAGTCAGTCACACTGTGTTTGTGAAACACAAAAATGACCAAAATGTTGCACTATTTTTTTTTTCCTAGCAGGTGGCCATGTTATAAACATGACATGTTCCAAATGTCTAAAGGTGCCCAGGTGTGCACATGTGCTTTGCTGTGCTGACTGAAGCCAGCTGGCACCACCAGCACTGCACTGCACAGCTGTCAGCTGAATTCTTAAAGGGCATTAGTGCATCTGGTGTGTAATCACTTGGATAAGTGATGGTTTAACAAAAGTCTCTGTGAAGAGATTCCTAATAAGAACCCCTTCTTTCAAGGGCCTTCTGGCAAAGGTAGAATTGCACAGAAGATACTGTAAAAGGATATTCACATACTAATCATCCTTCAGGTATTCCTAAGGACACCAAGTAGATGGTTGTGAGGCTTGAGTATGGCAGATATGATCAACTTTTGAGCTACCATTCCCAAGAGCTAAAACATGCCTTTTGGAGAGATACTCCACTTAAAAATTTTCCTAACGTAGCTATAATTCTTCTAGAAGTTCTCTCTATTTTACTCAGTCTATCAAAGTTTTGATAGAACTTTTTTTTTTTTTTTTGGAGGATTAGACAGAAGTTTACAGGTGGACCGTATTTTAAGAGGTCATGAGCTCCTTTTTTTGCTCAAACCTTTCAGTGTGAACATTGCATTAATTAGGTCAACAACTTTGGTCTTAGTTTGCCATTAGATTGGCTTGGAAAGATGCTTTTAAATAAATAAATTCAGAGAGCAATAAAAGCTGCCTGACAGCCCTTATTATGGAAATGCCACAGTGGTAAAGATTAGCAAAAGATTCAAGAAGCCATTACTCTGGAAGGTGAGCACATGGGCATGACTATATCCTCCTGTAAGGAGAGTAATTTAGACTTTTCTTCATACAAACTTCTTATAATAGATGTGTTTTTGAGAACCTGCAACTTTGGAATTTGGAATGAATACAGTCTGACTCAGCAGTGTGGCCCTGCCACCAACATCACTTTTCTTCAACCACGTTTTCATTCAGTTTCCTGACTTTATCTTCAAATAAGTAGGTAGAGCATTTTTAGCTCTTACCATCAATCAGTCTCTTTCAGTTTATAAATCCTACTGGCACTTAATATATTAACAGTATACGCTCTTTATATGTTGGAAATTCAGCAAAATTTTCCAGCTGTTTTGGAGTTACATGGAAATTTCAGCTCAGATCACTGGAAAAAAAGGAGTAGTGTATCTACTCCTGAGCTCCCCAGTACAAGAGAAACAGTGACAAACTTGGAGAGAGTTCAGCAGAGGTTCACCAAAACAAGTATGGTTCTCAAGCACATGAGAACCTGAGGGAATTCAGTTCATTTAGCTGGAAGAAGAGAAGAAGGGATCTAATTGCCATCTTCAGCCACTTAAGTAGTAGTTGTAGAGAAGACAGAGCCAGACTCATCCCAAATATTACTCAGAAAAAAAGGCAATGAATATAGGCTGTACCAAAGGAAATTCCTCTTTGACACAAAGAACAGAAGTTTAACTGTGAAGATGATCATGTGCTGGAGCAGGCTGCCCAGAGAGGCTGCCCAATCTCCAGCCTGGTAAACACTCAGCACTCACTCAAAAGTGGATTTAACTGCAGAGCTGGCCCTGCTTTAAGCAGGGAGGTTGACCACATGACCTCCAAAGGGCCCTTTCAAACTCAGGTACCGTGCAATGCTATGAAAATTTGTGGAACACACACAGCTACTGTTCCTCATGACTGGCCAGCAACCCAACCACTCAAAGGATACTGCATACACACAAACTGGGCACACTGGGAGTTCTCAACAATCATGTATAATTTTATATATAGTTTTGATTAGGTTTTTTTGTTTTGTTTATTTTTGTTTATTTTTTATTTGTTTGTTTGTGTTTTTTTTTTTTAATCTAGTGGCTGCAAGGCATATAGATTTCTGCACTGGAACTGAGGATTTTCCATTCCACTATTATATTTACACAGTATCTAAAATACAAAGGAGTTCTCTCACTTTCATCTCACAAATTACTTCCCCTTTTTATTATTGCTTTTACAGCAGAACAACCCTTTTGACACTGAACTACTCAGTGAAATATTTAAATAATTTCACCTTCTGCTCTAAGTCTCTAATAAAGTCAAGCAATGCAGTATAGTCTGTTAAAACAGACTTTAAAAAAACAGACAAACAAACAAAAACTCCACAAAAACCCCAACCCCTGCTCTGCTTTTGCTCCAGGCCAGCATTACAGAAAAGCTGGACTGTAGCATTCCCATTCTAGCTCATTCTGTCAATGCATTTTACTTCCACACTTCTTTTTGACCCTCAGGATCATCTCTAATTCTGTTCACTGTTCATTTACTTCATAATTTTAGCAAAGGTTGATTGATTGCTGAAACACAGCTGGCAAATAAGCTGTGATTGTCTAACAGAGCACTCTGAAAGCACCCAGGCTATCTAGAGCTCTGTGAGTGTCTTTAGGTATACAGAAAACAAAAAAAGTGCAGATTAAAATCCTGGGAAAACACCCCAGTGTTCGAATGTCATGTAATATTCTGATAAGTGTTTAACTGGTGCTCAACTGAGATTCTCAGAAATGTCAGCAGACTGTTACTCCCCTAAATATATTCAACCACAATGCATAAAATGGCATGGGAAAGAAGACACTAATGACATTCAAAACACATTTACAGAAACCATAAATGCCGTAGCACTGTGTCTTTCTATCTTCAGGCAGGCACAACCATGCCTCTTAGTAGCTGTATTTGTTCCTTTAGTATCTTTGAATCATTTTGTCCTGAGATAGATGAGTAATCGTTTTTTCTTCTTTTTGTTTTGTTCTTCTTATAGTTAAAATCACCAGACATTTGCTTTTCCACCCTTTTCTACCACCCTTATGATACATTTTGCTTATCACACCTCAGCTGCCCATCAGGAAAGTATATTAGGGATTTTTACCAAAAATAATACAACTTCTGTAAGATAAATTTTTAATATTCACAATAGTATGGCCAACTTTCTTGATACAGATGCAGAGAAAGTTTTTAGCAGCTGTAAAGACTAAAGCATTCTTTGGGAAACCAGTAGCAGAGAAAATCTTATACCGGTGCCCTATGTGCCTCCCTTTTCCAGATTCCACATTTATGTAGGAAAAAAAAAGAGAAAAGAGTGATGTTAGAACATATCATTAATTCTACCATCACTGCCAGCCCAAGCCGAAGCCACAGGCTGTCACACTGACAGTGATGTATTAGCAGCTTCACAGCAACTGCAGAAACAATCCTGATGATGTAGAGCAACACACTCGGTAACACAAACATCCTTCTTCTCTCTATGTTTGCTGGGTGGTAACACAAGCAATTTATTTCCAGTCCTTGGGTTTGTGTACTTCAAAAACGTGGGCAAGACAAAGTCTAAGGCACAGAACAGCCCCTGTCCAGATAGAGCTTCCACTAAAAGGTCTTGTTGCTCTCTGTTAAATCACGTCTGCTGAAGTATATCTAGGGTGTCAAAACCTGATATGCCCAAGTTCTGCATTCAGATCTCTGGTTAAACTCCTCGTCAGGAGCTGTCAGCCATCAAGAGCAAAGACAACCGCTGGGTTCTCCAAGTCACGGCAGCAGTGGCAGCTGCAGGTAGTCATCACTTTGAAAGGAGAAATCACCAGTGTGTGCCCAGATACGGATTCAGATGCCTAACTTGTGGCATTTCAAATTAGAA